ACACTACCATTACCTTTGACTTGTCTGGATTTGCTTTCAGTTTGTTCACCTTCATCCAACCCCCAACTGCAGTCATGCCCTGAGGACGGACTGAAACTGCAGGACCTAGGTCAGATGATGGTGCCTCACTCCAAATTTCTTTGTAATCTCACCCAGGGGCCTTATATGCACATTGGTTAGGAGGGCTGGCAGGATGGACCCCACAGAAAAGGTCCCAAAAATTATAAATACTCGTCCATCATCACTACTTAGAACCAGATAATTTTACCTTGAAGTGATTTATACCAATGTAAATTTGTGGTGTGTGTGTTTTCCATGGCATAAAGTCAATTTACTTTAGAGTAAACATGTATATCTGTACACTGTAATTTATTGTGTAAATTGAAGTGGAATATAATATATTAGAAAATGGTACTGTATCACCATTTTATTATTGCTAAATTGTAAAAAAATGATTTGTACAGGTAAAACGCAGGTAAAATTTGTAAGCAACATGAAAGCAATAATTCTCTGTTGTGTGTGATGTTTAATATTGAGTCAAAGGACAAATTTAATACACACACTGACAGACAAGTAATTAATAACTAGCCCATTCCTAATAACAAATAGTCATACTGTAGGCAAAATATGTGGAACTTGCTGCAAATTGAGCCCTCAAGAGAGAAACATGACTACTCTTTTTAGATGGCTGTCTGATTCTCTAGCAAATATATTTAAAATTGTTGTTTCTTAATTCATTTTATTTTCTTTCTAGTGTAATGTCATTATTCTGTTCTAATCTACTCTTTTTGCTTGCATCTGTCCATATTAAAGAGGGGCTATATGGGAATTCTTGCTACTAGCTACTCCCTATGGGTAGGAATTAAAGTGCTCTCTCTTCACATATAACCCAATTTGCTAATTACCATCAGTTTGAGGGAGAGAATACTAAACCTGAGACAGAGCAATATCAGTTATGAGAGGCGCCTAAGAGTTGTTTTTAGGGGAAAACTAAAATACTTAGTTCATTTTCCTGTTAGTGTTATTTTAGGCCAGCTCTTGCTTTCTCAAAATATTTATTATACCACTGCTGCCTGAAGTTGAATTGCTCCTGTTTACAGCATTTGAACTGAGAACAGACACAACCATTTTGCATAGAGTCATGTCATGAAAAAATGTAACATATTCTGACTAATAAAATCATTTGGAGGGTGATGCTATTGGTCCAATGTTGCTTTTTTGGAATGCAGCGCATGGCCTGGTGTGCTTACCATCTGTTTACAGATTCAATAATTGCCACTTTCCTCACACAAATTTTCCCCCCTTCTCCTGACCATGCCATTACTATTAGACAAAGGTCACAAGAAACTCCAACTGACCCAGGTACCCTGAAGAATCTCAGTCATCAAAGGAATCTTGTTATGAAGGAATTTACCTATTTTTACTCTGCTTCATAGTAAGGTTATGGACACAGGACTAGCTCTCCCAGGGTGGCTGCCTGAAATAAGCACCAGGACTCTAAGAGCCACTCTAATTAAAGCACCGAGAACATCATGTGTATCAGCATCCCCACACTGAAAAATGGTAGCAGGGGCACTTTAACTAAAGCTCAAGCTTTAACTTTAGTTAAAGCACCTCTGCCACCATTTTCCAGCATGGGGACACTGATACACATGACGCTGGAGTCTGCTAGAGCGCAATAATTACCACGCTCCAGTAGACTTGATTAATCGAGCCTGCTCTGATGCTCATCAGAGCAACCTCTCTACATGTGTATAGGCACCCTGGGGGTCTAAAGACCCAACTAGGACCAAGAGTCTGTCTAAAAGTCAGGTAGGCACTGTTAGGATCACTCCAGAACTTAGGGAAAGCATCCCACAACACATACATGAAGGTGTGGTAGCTGAGAAGTGAGTACACTGAGGAGCTGGAGTGCAGTAGGATTAGCATGGCTAGCAGGGGGTGCCACAGCTTCCCTCAGGGGTCAGTCCTGCTTCAGAACTTGAAGGTGAAAACTAGCACCTTGAACTTTGCTCAGAAAGCTACTGGGGGCTAGTATAGACTCTGGAGTTAAGTGCTCCTGGCAACCTACTCCCCTCAGAAGGTGTGCTTCCATGTTCTGCACCAGCTGCAGTTTCTAATCATCTTCAAGGGCAACCTCACATAGACCCCATGGCAGTAGTTTAGTCTTGACATTACAAAGGCACAGATAGTGGTGGCCAGATTTGATTCTGAAAGGTTGCAACGTTTTCGTCAGATAAAGTTTGTGAAATGTACTTCTAGCCACTCGGGCCACCTGAACATTCAGGAGCACTCCAAACCGGCAAGCATGAGTGACAGGAGGAGGGGGAGGCTGAGCCTCAGCAATGATAGGTGTCCCAATCCCCACCAAGTCAAATGTTCTGTACACTACCATTACCTTTGACTTGTCTGGATTTGCTTTCAGTTTGTTCACCTTCATCCAACCCCCAACTGCAGTCATGCCCTGAGGACGGACTGAAACTGCAGGACCTAGGTCAGATGATGGTGCCTCACTCCAAATTTCTTTGTAATCTCACCCAGGGGCCTTATATGCACATTGGTTAGGAGGGCTGGCAGGATGGACCCCACAGAAAAGGTCCCAAAAATTATAAATACTCGTCCATCATCACTACTTAGAACCAGATAATTTTACCTTGAAGTGATTTATACCAATGTAAATTTGTGGTGTGTGTGTTTTCCATGGCATAAAGTCAATTTACTTTAGAGTAAACATGTATATCTGTACACTGTAATTTATTGTGTAAATTGAAGTGGAATATAATATATTAGAAAATGGTACTGTATCACCATTTTATTATTGCTAAATTGTAAAAAAATGATTTGTACAGGTAAAACGCAGGTAAAATTTGTAAGCAACATGAAAGCAATAATTCTCTGTTGTGTGTGATGTTTAATATTGAGTCAAAGGACAAATTTAATACACACACTGACAGACAAGTAATTAATAACTAGCCCATTCCTAATAACAAATAGTCATACTGTAGGCAAAATATGTGGAACTTGCTGCAAATTGAGCCCTCAAGAGAGAAACATGACTACTCTTTTTAGATGGCTGTCTGATTCTCTAGCAAATATATTTAAAATTGTTGTTTCTTAATTCATTTTATTTTCTTTCTAGTGTAATGTCATTATTCTGTTCTAATCTACTCTTTTTGCTTGCATCTGTCCATATTAAAGAGGGGCTATATGGGAATTCTTGCTACTAGCTACTCCCTATGGGTAGGAATTAAAGTGCTCTCTCTTCACATATAACCCAATTTGCTAATTACCATCAGTTTGAGGGAGAGAATACTAAACCTGAGACAGAGCAATATCAGTTATGAGAGGCGCCTAAGAGTTGTTTTTAGGGGAAAACTAAAATACTTAGTTCATTTTCCTGTTAGTGTTATTTTAGGCCAGCTCTTGCTTTCTCAAAATATTTATTATACCACTGCTGCCTGAAGTTGAATTGCTCCTGTTTACAGCATTTGAACTGAGAACAGACACAACCATTTTGCATAGAGTCATGTCATGAAAAAATGTAACATATTCTGACTAATAAAATCATTTGGAGGGTGATGCTATTGGTCCAATGTTGCTTTTTTGGAATGCAGCGCATGGCCTGGTGTGCTTACCATCTGTTTACAGATTCAATAATTGCCACTTTCCTCACACAAATTTTCAGTGGTGGAAGCAAGGAGATGCAGAGAGATACAGAGTCTGGAATTCATTATTCCAGGTGTCCATTCTTATACATCTATCAAAATCATTCATGTTACTTTGGAGCCATGCTGGTACAACTGACTTTAAAATCAACTCAAATGTTTCCTGCTTAATGGCCTTCTTAAAGTTTTTCTAAGGTAAAGATTCTCATTTTTGCAAAGACAAAATTATTTTTGTGGCCATGCATATATTATGAATCTAAATTTATTTAAAATACTGTGTCCCCTGTGTTATTTCTTATTTGAAATATTGCTCACTATTTTAAGGTACCTCAAACTGAATTTTATGCCATAGTGAGCGCATCTACATGTGTAATTAGCATGAAGCGATAATAAACTCTGGTGCACACCAGAGTTTATTGCCCCTGGGCACCACATTTGAATGTGTGCCCAGGACCATAGCATGTTGAGCTAAGTGGGAGTAGCCTGGGCTGGCAAGAGGTGCAGGGGGTGGTGGTCAGTCTACCAGCCTGGGGCTGCTCCAACCTAACTCAATTTGCTGCAGAGGGGCTGGCTGGGGCATGGGAATGCTCCAGTGCAGGGCTGAATCCCCTACAGGAAAGATGATGCAATGCAGCAAATGCTAGAAATGTGATATTCCTTGATGAAGATGTAGAGGAAAGGTAGGAAGCTAAATAAAGAGTCACAGATAGAGAGCTGGAATCAGAGATATTGTTGTTACATATGATGTAAGGAAGAGGACTCGTACAATTCAAGGAGCTACCTTTCCCAGATTGTCTGGGTATGAGTTTCTTTGCTGGAGAAAGGATAAAGGACTGGCATGCACATGCTTTTTTTTATTTTTAAAAACATCTCGTCCTGGCTTAATCTTGTATAAAGACATAATTTTAATTATTAAGTGGAATTTTACACGAGAGGATCTCTGTAGTCTTATTAATACCACAGAAATAAAGTAACTGAAACATAACCTTTTTCGTTTCCTTATTTAATGTGTATCTTAACAATGAAAAACTGATTGCAACTGATTCTGTGATGAAACTCATGTGTTGGTTAACCAAGAATGAGTAGTGTTTAATTGGAAATATTCCCTTTTGTAGTCAGTACAGTACTCCATCTTCTTCTCTGTTTTCCCCCAGAAAAAAACAAAGAAAAAAAAGCACATCTACAATACATTAGAGGAATCACCATTTTAGTGGTGATTTGAAAATAACATCCCCTCAAATATAAAAAAAAAAAATCAAATCAGGAGGACTGTGCAAAGCTGGGAAGAAACAATTGTTCATCATCTCTTAAGCACCTTTTAAATACAAAGCTTACCTTGCCCACATACTGGGTATCTGGACCTGTGTACTCCTCCAGCAAGAAAAACTGATTCCACATCCAGCCACGTTTAGTGCGGTGCAGTGTTTTCCCAGCATCCTGTGACAGCCCCATTATCCTTTCAGGATGCAAATATTTGTTAGTCCTTTTGGGGGATGGTGTCAACTGCACCACATGAAGCATACAACTCCAGATCAAAAATGCCAAGCAGTAGTAAGTCCTCATTGTTTGCAGCTTCAGCAAAGAGGCTGCTATGTTGAACTTCTCTCCTATTTCACCACAGTAAATGTTTTTAAGTGTTGTATTCCACTTTTAAAGGACCTGTGAAATAGTCAAAAGTTTATGGGTGAGTAGCAGTAATCTTCTTTGGATACTTAAAAATATATTTTACCACAGTTGTGCTTCAATCATCTTATTTGTACAACTACTGGATTTCAGGACATTTATGCCTATAAATAAATTATAATTTTAATACAGGCCTCCTGGGAGAGTTATTCAAAGAGAAATCATGAGTGTACAGATATTCAGGCTTTTTTTTTCCTAGAGTAAAAATAGTTGGTCCAGGAGAAAAATAACCTGGGAACAATTAGGGTTAAACCACTCAAGAGAGAGTTTGTGTGACTTTGATTTCTCTCAGAAGAGAACATAGTCCTCCAGCACCCCAAATCCCCAGGGAGACAGTCTGTCCTTTGCTGGACTCTGCTGTTCCAGGAGGAAACAACACATTCACTTTCACAATTCCACCATTTGCTGCAGGGAGAAAAAGACTGACAATGGGAAGTCTAAATCAGCCAATCAGGACTTCTGCCATCTATCTCCAGGCAGACTAAGGGAGCCTGCAGAGCATGCTGAGATGTGTGTACAGCCTCCTCTTCCACTGCCTCTGGCTGTACATTGCCAGCACTGCGAGCTCCCTATTTTTCAGGGCCTCAACATTTGAACATCTGTACATGCAGCTCTGGGCAAGTTTTCTACTAGAAAATAAAACTAGGAGAAATATCTGAATGTGTATACACAGTCACAGTCTCTTCAAATCCTTGCCCTCGTCTGTTTCTCCCTCCTCCATCATATACATTAATGGATTCACAACCATGATTTGATCAGGTAATATATTTCTACATCTTAAAAGTTAAATGGACCAAAATAATTTTATTGCTACATTTAGTGCAATTCTAAAGCAAAGAGCTAGCTCCTAGCTTCTAGTGTGATCCTGTTATCATGTGAGAACCTACACATCAAGAGAATTTTCAATATATTTTCTCTCAAGCAATTCTCTCACTACTGTGGTACCATTCTTCCTCTCACCACCTTGTGTACAGATGTTCAAGTGAAACTAAATGTTGTGCTGTACATGATTACATGTTTCCTGTATACTTTCCTTCCAAATTGCTTGTATGGTGTACAAATGCCTTGCTTGTATAATGTACTCATCCATTCTTAAGCCAAGGAAGATTCTGTGACATAGGAGGGATTTGTTTGAGAGGGCCTTAGTGATGGAAGATACCTTCCATGGCCCCTCTGGACTGGGTTGACTTATACTTCCTGTACCTGTACTAAAAGAGCTCTTTCCAGAAAAATCTCATTGGAATCAATAGGGAATCTGCATTTGGACTGCTGTTAATCAGAGTATGGCTATTTTTAGCTGCAGAGAGAAAAAATAGACAATGAAAAAACTTTTCTTATAAATGTCAACATTCATTGAAAAAATAAAAACAAAAAAACTTTGGCTGAAAAATTAACTACCTGTCAAACCAGCACAACAGAGTGGGAAGTAATATTTAGGGCACTGACAGATGTGCAGCTCCCTGGGCTAACTCATGGCACTTCACAGAAAGAACCATGAGTTAGACCAACCCTTCTGACCCAACAGACATTCTCTGTTGGACTGGGAGGGTGGGTGATTTATTTCCACTCTGGAGCTAATCCACATGAAGAACTATGGGTCTGCACTTCTCTCCCCTAGCCCCTCCCCCCACCAGCTCCTGTGTTGTCTGCATGATGGGAGGGGGAAGAAGGGAGGGGAGAGGAGGGAGCTTGGGCTGGGTTTACCCAGCCTGTGCAAGATAGGGGGCAGGTGGAATCGAGCCTCCTGCCTTGGGGTGGGGGATGGGGGGGCTCCAATACATCTGTGTCCATTCTGGTACAGGCTTAGAGAACCCATCTAGGCTCCCTCTCCTTCCTTTCCTCCCCTCCCATCATGCAGACAGTACCAAGGACAAAACTGGGCTGCATCAGCCCAGCTGTGATCAGACAGAAGTTAATGAAGGCTCTAAACTTCAGAGTGCTTTCATTTGAAACTTCATGTAATGAGAGTTAATTTTTCACAAAACCTGGCACTTTTAAAGTGCACTTCTGTCAGGGCACAGCTGTAGAGTGGTTTCAAGGAGATGACCATACAACAAATGTAATTTCTGCCTATGCCCTTAGTTGCTTTGTGTCCCTGCCCTCCCTCACCCTCCAGGCTGAGCTTCTAAGCTGCATAAGAACTTCCCTGGTATGCTATGAACCACCTCTTGTTGAATTGTCACTGCATAAACTGAGGTACAGACTGAGGATCCCAGCCCCATAGAAGAGAATGGGATGGCTGGATATTAAGCAACAAAATGACAGCACTGACAAAGCACTATAGAAGCAATTTTCAGTCTGCTTTTTCTGGGGAGTGGGGGGTGGAGTGGAAGTCAGCAATAATTGTTTGGTTTTGTTTTTCAGTAGTAGAAATAAGATTTTTTTTTTGTAACAAAAAAGGAAAAAAGAAAAACATGTCTAGTGGAAAATCCAACTTTCTGTTGACAAACAATATAAACAACTCTGCTCTGGACATCCCATTTTGCACCAAGGCCAGCCAATACAGGCCCCTGCATCTCTGGAGAGTCATGATTATGCTGAAAATCTGCACAGACTCAGGGATCTTCAGCTACATGATCCTCAAGCAAGATAAAAGCTTTAATGCTTTTACTGACTTTAAGCAGACTTTTATCTGAGGGAAGAAGTGGAGTCCTGGAATGTTTAGCAATCTCTAGCATCATGTTTAAAAACAAAAAGAAAACATTTGTGAAGGCATCTAGTTTATGCAGAAAATTATAGTTATAATGCAGGAAAAATTGTATTTTCCTCACTTTTTTAATTGAAGAATCAAAGCACACAGTAAATCAACACTAATTTGCATAAAATCATGCATGTACATAGATTTGGGCATAAATTAGAGAACATTTTCTCTTGTGGTTCTGTAGGTATTCTTGATATCTTGTTTCCCCTCTTATAATGTTCAATATGTTCTTTTTGCATTGCAAAGACCATAAGGTAACCCTCTCGTGGCTAATTTAATGCCAGTAAATTACCAAGTTCCTAAGTCAAGAATGTGTTATTGAAAGGATAGAGCATTGCCTTGTTATTTAAACTCAGTGAACGCCAATCAGAACACTGTCTTTTATTCCAAGTGACAAATTCATCTATTTTTTTAATTTTTAGGTATTGTTAACCTCAAAGCTCTCTACTGAGAACATAAATTTAAACCCTTCTTGTTTTTAATTAAAATATTTAGCAACCTAGGACATAAAGTGCAAGTTACTAGGTCATCAAGTCTAGTCTTCTGTTGTCTCAGGAAATTTTTGAGGTGTCATTAAGTCTTGTTCATAAACTGATCATGCTACATCATAAAATTGGGTTGTTCCCCAACAGCCCCTCTCGGTAACGACTCCCATTGCTGGTTTCAAATCTCATGTGTCTGAGTGCTTTTAATTTCTTGGCTAAATTTACTACTAACCAAATTATGCCCACATGATCATGTGCCTACATTGTCCTTCACCTTAAATTACTGTCTTCCTTTCCCAGTGGTTACCTCCTGATATGTTTATAGAAAGCAATCATGTCCATTCTATCCTTTTGTTTTGCTTGTCTAAATTAGCCACATTTTAATCCCTGTTTGTAATTCTCAAGTCTCCTGATGATCCTATTAGCTTTTCTTTGTACCTGTTCCAGTTTGAATTGATTTGAATGTGGATGACAAGAACTGTATACAGACTACAGCTGGCATTTTACCAGTGTCTTATAATATGTCATTAACTCTTCCCTATCTCTTCTTGCTTAAAAAAACAAATCCCTCCTCTCTATGATTCTCCCCCTAATTTTGTGCTGAGAGAAACACTATAAGATGGGTATCAACCACTGTACTTCACCCCCAAGGCAGGGCAGTATATTAGAAAATAAACCAATGGAAATGTCTTAGACAACTAGTTAGCATGCATGCTGAAAACAGCAGAAAATTGTAGTCAGCAGAACACAGAAGGAAGCAGACTAAGAGAACTACACATATTCCCTACACATCTATGTTGGTCTGCCATGGGGATCGGTTTCTGAGAAAACACTAATCCTTTCACAGAAGAGCAAAAGAGTTCATGTTTTATTCCTGTTAAAACAGAGTTTTACATAGTGGCAAAGCGGCTTTCAGTGTGACGCCGCCCTCTAGTGATTGGTTCACTGGGTGGCTGTAGGATTTCCCATTGCTGTAAAAAGTAGAGATCTCTTTCATCTTGATTGGTACAGGCTTCTTTTTTGGAACTAAAGAAACATGGATCTAAACCTTCTACTGTGCATGATTTATGTTGTAATTGTGAAAGGTTTCTGCAGATATAAATTTGTTATGATGGCATCAGTCCTGACCCTACTGAATATAATAGTAAACTCTCACTTGACTTTTAATAAGAAGGGCAAGAAGCAGAAATGTGATCCTGTAGAGAAGGGTCTTGTTTATAGGCAATTTATGAAATATTTTGGATCAGACAGTATTTTACAGCATCTAAGCAATCTATCTCACTTTGCCCCTGCTCCTTCCCCTTTCTACTCAACCCACCTGTTGTTTTGTTATTCTTTTTTCTTTTTTTTTTTTACACACTTTCTCTCCTTAGTTGCATCTGGTTAGAAGACTTCTGCACTGTAACCAGCTCCTCAGCTCTAGACATTTTAATTCCAAAGTTTGTGGACTACCTGCATCCTTTCTCAGTGCTGCAAATCAGTGATACCTAATGATTCCAAATAGCAGAAAATGAATTTGTTTTACTGTTTGAGGGATCTGTGGAGGTAACCTGAAATCATTATAATCTCTCCTTGCAGGAAATCTGATATCAGATTCTAAGAGTTGCAGGTAAATGAATTACCTTCCTATGAAAGACGGAGTTACCCTTAACATATTAACAAGTGGAGAAAAATGTATCTTTTAAAGCCCTTTG